ATTCCCTTTTAGGCGTTGTACGTACCTCGGAAGTGGACCAGATATCACAAAGATCCGGAAACGCAGCAGAGTCAGATACAAAAGGAATCATGGACACAAAACGAGCAATACGTTCCTGAAAGCACAAAAGAATTGCTAAATTTGGAGTCTTGCTCTTGCCACACTGAAAGCAACCTATTCTCTCCCTTAAAGTGTGCTGCAATGATTGACGTATATGAACATTCTACGCTGTTGTCATGGCTATACTTGAAGGACTCCTCTTTGTTCAACTTACATTTCCCACGTGATCAGCACTGATTTAAAAGGCAATTGAACAAAATTTTATTTTACCCTTACCATTTTGTATTGTGTTTCTTCAAGTAACTCAGCAGGAGGATTTTGCGATCTGATGTAGCGGGTCAAAAACACTTTCTTGCCTGCCAGGTTAGTTGCCAGTGCCTGTGAAATAAAGTGACCTTTACGTGATTAACTTGTAACTTCTCTTCACAATTTTGGCACATCAGGCAAATGGATGATGAAAATAAAAAACCCTGTCGGCTTCAGGGTGTCATCTTGATGTGATACCAAACTCTCCTAACTTATTCACAAGAAAATCTAGGGCAGCTAGAATGGAGAATTATCCTAGTTAACAACAGACGGGACTGAGTGGAAGAAAACATCACATGACTCGCAGAGCCCTGCCCGCGCTTTTGATTAAAAAACATTAGAAAAAAGATAAAAATATTTGTTTAGTAGCCGCGAGCGAAGTTGCAAGTGGGGTTGAAAAAAGCTGGGCGACCCTGCGTAGGTGCCCTGCAAAAAGAAAGCAGCGAGACGACAGGAAGGTGGAACGAGCGCAGCGATCAAATGAGAAAATGCCTCATAATTGAGCCTACGGGAAAATCTTTGGCTTTCGTACTGTCCTTCCCTTTCGTCAAAATATTGATCAAAATATTGATCAAAATATTGATCAAAATATTGATCAAAATATTGATCAAATATTGATCAAAATATTGATCAAAATATTGATCAAAATAAATCAATTAGCAGGGCGACGATGCCTTTCAAACTTAAAAGAAAAGGGGGGCCGGCAAATGTGTATAAATTGCTTATTTGAAAAAGGAGCTCTTTAAATATCACTGCGAGACAAAATATTTGGAAAAATGTGGGGAAAAGACAGGTAACTTTGAGAGCAAACCTTGAATTCTCTTTTTGGAAACTTTTTCCTCAGGCCTGAAAGCCACAACTGTGCGTTATGTAAAAGTTTATCATCCTCGTTGCTTTCAAACTGAAGAAGATACATAAAAGCAGACAAACAAATCAAATTAAAATGATGCATAAGTATGTTATCAGAAAAGTGACCAAGCGTTCGCAGACTTTACCCTATCTGCCATAGGTTGTGAAGGTTGTAATGGCGGTTCTATTGTCACAAACAGTGTCAGTAGAGTGTCATTTCTGGATATAATACCCAAGTCGGCTGGTGCCCCCAAATGACGTCCCCGTTTGTGATAACCGAGGAGGACTGGGGGAGTATTCACACGAAACGTGCCCTCCACCTGCAAAGCAGAATTAACAGCGATAGATGTTACACAGCAAAGGTAATTCCCACCCTTCTCTCGACTAATCGGATGCGAGAAGAAAATTCATCACGATTAGTTATCTACCACAGCGTTAGTCTAGTCGTTTAAGTTCCGAGTTCTCATTAGTTCCACGTAATGTTGTTGATCTTTCCAAACTGACCGAACAACTTTTGCGGAAAACTTTTCCTAAAAACCAAACAGTAAGAAACCTGCGGTGAAGTTGCCATTTCTTGAAAGTCGATATAACCCAACATGAGTGGGACACGTATGATGCACGATCCTCACAGTAGAGAGCGCTATTTATGCAATAGCGAAAATCAGACCTGAAAAAAATCAGGCCTGTACGGGATTCGAACCACTGACCTCTGCGATACTAGTGCAGCGCTCTACCAATTGAGCTAACAAGCCAATTGGGAGCAGGCCGTTAAGTTGATTCGTAATAAACCGTGATGATAAATCAGATACAATGAATATATGAAGTTCATATATTTTGAACTGCGGTATTAGATACGTATGATGCACGATCCTCGCAGTAGAGAGCGCTATTTATGCAATAGCGAAAATCAGACCTGAAAAAAATCAGGCCTGTACGGGATTCGAACCACTGACCTCTGCGATACTAGTGCAGCGCTCTACCAATTGAGCTAACAAGCCAACTGAATGAAAAACAAGAGTCTTGTTTTTTTCTCGTTACGCATGCTACCACCAATAGCGTAGCTCCATTTTCTACAAACAAACACACACTCATGACCTACAATTCCCCTATTCGCTCTGACGAAGGGCCAACGCTCGAAACGTCAGCTATAGTTACACTTTACGGTGGCCGATTTACATTAACAACTAATTTGATGAAAACCAGATTATCCTACTAGTCGGGCGGTTGCAAGTCTAAATTCACTCACGGGAACTTAAACTACTATTTTTTTTCTTAGTCGTCTATACCATAGATTTAAAATCTTAGCCTTTCACGGAACTACCACGCTTACTTAAATGATATCATCTTTACTTACATTGCCCGTGATATTTCTCGATCGAAACAAAAGAAGGTGTTCGAAAAAGTGATTATAGAATGGCAAGAATACCTTATTGTTGAAATAAATAGTCGAGAAGGGAATCTCAACACTTCCCAGCCAGTGGCGCTCAAGTCGCTGATGAATATTCGTGGATTGTTGGCGATCATCCTAAAGCAAGGAGCACAAAGAAGTTCAAGCAAAATTACAGTGAAAGAGGAAAGCTAACAAAAGCGCGCTGTCAAAAATGTAGGAGATTTCATGAAACAGCAGCAGTGTAAAACTTATTTCTAACTTGTAAAATGTTGAACACGACTTCATCGAACAGATTGAGATAAACCACATCGTTGACGGTTTGAAGATTCTCTGGCGAGTAGTCATTGTTAGGGGCTCTGCAAAACAGGAACAAAATAAAAAACATCAGTGAGGGCAAGTATTTTGTAAACGGCGTTTTGAAAATGTGGAAGAGCCTCACAACAGAAAAATTGACGGAGATTTCTGAAGGAACATAAAGGTTGAAATGCTGTTTTCTTAGCATAGCTAACAACGGCTGACATGCTGTGCAAGTCGAACCAGGTGCAAGAGGATAAAAAAAGCTTTTAAACTTACTTGAAAGGTATGATAAGCTCCTCGTTCCAACTGGGACTGGGACCATCAGCAACTGTAGTACTAGCAAATTGTCCCTGAAACACTGCCTCTACGAAGGGACGGACTTGGGGCTGTCAAAGATCAAACCATAGTCAGAATGCATTTCATAACTACACCTCGGTATGCAATATCCTTCAAGTAACCCAATCAAATGTTTGAATCTAACTTCGTGTGAAATCGCACGCAATTCCAAGTTAACTGACCAAGCAACACTTGTGCAGAGATTGTAAATAGCAAGACGTTGCATGTGCAAATCCAGAGGTATAATTACGGAACCAAACTTACGATTACGATCCAAATTTCTGAATAACAACTTTAGGTCCCTTGTTATAACTATGATTTCATTATCCTTGGACGCGTATCGATATCTTTGGATCCGTATGACATTCCACCCATAGTTACAACCTTGCACCCGTAGTTGTATAGGAGTATTTACAGGCCTCCGTACTACAGAGCAGCTATTCTTTGAAAATGACGGCTGACAACAACCACATGACCTAATGTAACGTTACATTTAAGAAATGGGAGTAATGTATAATTTAATATTACCTTCCCCCACGGGTCACTTGACGTTCGCGGAGCTCCCTGAGGACCACTTGGAGGAAACCCACCATAACCAGGACCACTTCCCGAAAACATATTAGAGGCTCCAGCTCGTAACGAGCCTCCTGCGCCAAAACGAGCTCCGGCTCCTTGAGTACCACTATTTCAGGAAGAGGAAAAGTGTCATCACTGAGTGTTGTGCGGTTATAGCTCCAGGAGGGTTCATAAATCGTTCCATGAGAGGGGAGATCAAGAAATACAAACTTTTTCAATAAAATATGAAGGGAAACTGGGATTTAAAAGGGTTACGTAGGGTTATTGCAGCAAAAATCCTACATGACAGGAAGGGGGTATTTTCTGTTCAGAGAACACATCCTCTTTTGGAGAACAATAGCATACGACAGTTGACAGCAAATCGTGCGGTCATAATGTGGGATAGAGAACTGTAGAATATTTCTCATTGTACGACTGGATTACTACTCTCAGTTTGTACACTTAAAGGTGAATAGCACAACCTTTTCTCCCCTCTCCAAACAATCAATGAATAATTTCTACCATTAGCAACACCTACCCTGCTGGCTGCACGTCATCCCGAACTGGAATATCCAAAGCACGCACAATGTTTATAAATACTTTAACATCACTGACAGTCAGATTCTGAGAAGAAGCAAATTTATTAGTTTCTAAAGGAAAAATATGAAATGCTACGTTGATAATAAAGTAGAAGTTAATAAAGATAGATTAGCCTCCCAGAAGTTGAGTTTTTGTTTACAAAACTTTGGGGAAGTTGATGCTAGCCTTTTGTCGAGCGCTGTGGAGGGTTGTGGGTTGTTGGCGTGTTCATGCACAACGTATTAATGTAACGGATGATGTATAAATAACCCAGTTAGATGAATGAGGAGCTCTTGTTGATTGATGGGGTGCCTCGGGGCTAGCTTGACATTTGAGGCTTGTTCTAACGTTTAGTAACTTTAAGTGATGCCAGAAAGTAAGCAAACAAGCTTATTTTCGAAGAGGCTCTCAAAAGAATGGCCTTTGTAATGCAATGTGGTCAGGTTGCACGGTATTTTGATGGTTGCCACCCACCTGAGCTCCAACTACTTTTCTTTCCTTGCGGACAGGACGAAGAGGCCGTCTGGGAGCGAAGAACTGTCCAAAGCGAACTCCGATCTCACTGAAATATTCAAAGCAAGTTGAATGAAAGATTATCTAAAATCAAGTTGAGGATAGAGTTTGTTTTACAGACTCTTCATTCGTCTTAGTTCCTTTAAACAGATATTAAGGCAACGAGTGTAGGTTTAAGGGTTAAAATTGTTAAAATGCATTTGTGTGGAAAAAGCTACATCACAAGGACTTAAAAAATTTCTAAATCTCAATATTTAACAATCCGTACCTTACAAAGAGTCGTTCGAACAAAGTTACACAAAAGTTAAGAATAAGCATTACTACAAGTGCCCAAAAATAACACTCACCTAATGTCTGGCACTTCATCCTCAATGATCATATCTTTCAATTCAAGCTGTCGCTTGGCGATCAGAGAACGCTGTGTAACCTCATCCCGGATCTTGTAAGATATAAACAAAAAAGTAATGGCTGGTAATTAAGGTAGTGCCTACCAAAGTCGACGTTTTTGTCGAAATACACAGCCCTGATTGGCTAAATCTAGTAAATAGGAAATTGAGAGACCATGAGGAAGTTGTTCTGTGCCGATTATCAACAATAATAAACGCAGCTCAAATGCGCTGTGTTTGTCCGCGTTCAATCCTGCGATCTCGGTCTGTCGCTGCAGGGTCTGTGTAAATCGTCCACTCTTTTCTGTTTAATTTTGCAGGTAGAAATAAAGTAGGCAACAGCTAACGTGTCCGCATTTCGATCTAATAAAAATGGCGTAAGGTTGTCAATTGTCTAGTGACTAAATCGTGAAAGGAGTCGACCAAAAGAGTGGAGGATATTAACACTTCTCAGTAAAAGGCAAATGGAAACGTTACCTTGTTCAAAAACTTCGTAACAACTGTCTTGTGAGAGGAAATTTCATCTTCAGCTTCTTCTTCCTCTTGATCGCCGCGCATTCTTCTTTCATACGCCTTTATGAAACAAAGAAAATTGTGCTTAGATGAGCTGAGTCAGGAACTTTCGAGCATGTCAAAACAAATGTACCTTTGATTTCTCAACTGGGATTTTGCATCCTGAGTCAATTACATCCATCTCAAGCCACCCTCGTTCCTTTTTGCTGCACTCTTCCCATTTTTCTGTTTTCCTCTCTATCTACTGACAGTTTACTCTTTGTTTCCACATTAGAAGTAATTTTATTTTTCCAATATTACACCATTTTACCATACTAGGGTACTGGAACGCGCAAATATGCGACGGTATTACACTGTAGAATAAGGCGGAAATACGGACGGAAAGCAGGACAACAAAATGGCTGCACTGACGGTCCAAACTTTTCTTCGTTCTCGTTTATTAGGTTTTGCAATTTAGGCGCTCTAACTTTAAAAAAGCACGATTTGACGATTTTAGCACAACGAAAAGCTATATCCGGCTCAGGTGCCAAAAACTTCAAAGTTTCAAAGATCATTTAACAAAACAGAACCATGAAAAACCTCACGTCGAAAAGGTTGTCAGGTATTTCTCTATCCCGTGATGGAATCATTTTAAAATTCTTGAACTCGGTCACCTGAAAGGTCAGACAAACCATTCAAAAATAAAAAAAATTAGAAGCAATGGTAGAATTCTTCCGACAGGATTAACCTCATCGAAAAATATCCTCGTTGTAGCAATGGAAATCTAGTTAAACCTTTAACTCCTTGGAGTAACTCAAGCATTTCATTTCTCCATACAGTATCACCCCTGAATCAAAGACACAGGTAACGAAAGTAAAAGAAAATCATCAACACCTTGGGAACCCCTTGATTGTTAAAGCAATTCTCTTATCAGTACCACGGGAAAACCACTGAGAACAATATCGAGAATATACATATTAATGTTGGGGTCAAAAGGCTTAAATCCTAATGGAAAGTTGCTCATCTCACCCCTTTGTCTCTTAGTTGAATGAGCTTGAACCGCTTAGACTTTACGAACTCCTTTTGGCTGACAAATTCACACTCTTCGTCCAACTGGTTTAGTCGAAAGTACTGTGGAGCATTTGGTCCATCCTGTACTCCCTGAGTGAGCTACAAAAAAAAAAACTGAATTACAGGAAAGAAAATAAATTGAGTTGAAAGCATTGTTATTTGGCGCCATGGACCAATGCTAAACCATTACTCTGCTATTCAGAACACTGTTTTGGGCATTGAACGAATTCAGTCCAGTCATTTCAGTACACTACAAAATCGTTACTCCATTTTGCCCATTATGGCCTTGACCATTTTTCGATCATTTCTTAAAACTAATCCCAGATCACAAAGGGTTAACTTTACTTTCAACTGTGATTGGTCAAGGTTAGCGACTACTTTTCAGGACTACTCTCACCCGGACGATACGACGATCGACTAAACGATCAATTCAGAATTTAGAGTAACAAAACAACAAAATACCTTAATGATGTTCATGATATCAGCATTGGCTGGGTCATTAGGATCCAAATGGGATTGTTCTGAAAAAAGGAGAAAGAGCTAATACCAGAGGGACGAGATTTCTGACGAAGAGATTTATGAAAGCACTGATTTTATGCAAACAATCACACAACAACAAAGAAAGCATATACAAAATACATCTGCCGTTCTGGTAAAACATTTCAAGGTGTTATAGTCTCTACTGACCACCGTCAAACACAAACATATATCTTCTTTCCACCAAACCTTCCCACTTACCGATCCATTTTATTACATTTTGTATATCCACCATTCCTGCAGCTCCAAGAGCTGCCAATGCATCGTACTTTTTCATGGCACTGATGGCAAGAAATAAAAGGAATATGAAAAAAGAGCACAAAAACAAACGAACAAAACTAGGAGCGAACTAAAAGCGAAAACGAGGGAAAAACCAGATCGACAAACGGCAACTTTGTCAGTAAACCAAGACGGATGGTAAATTTTAGGCTCGCGCTTTAAATGGGGAAAGATGTTCTTCCCTAGTGAGTCCCCCACGAGGAATTGAACCTTACATCTTCGGTATACGCACTTCAATGCTCTACTACTGAGCCAGAGACCACGACTGTGAGGTGGGCCATATACTAAAGGATAAAAGGGGTATGTTTGTTAAGAAACTGCAGTGCTACTTGGGTGAGAGGTAAACAAGATAATTTGGTTTAATCAACTGAGTTTACAGTGTCAATTGTCCATCGTGAAGAGTTTCCTAATACTGACCTTTCGAGCGTTAGCACCTCGTCAGTGCGAAAAGAAGAACTGTGGGTTGTGTCTTGTGGTTTCTATACAAAGAGATACAGCTCGGCCATGGTTCCAACCAATAGCATCGCTCCATCTTTTGATATAAACCACACACAACCCACAATCCCTCTATTCGCTCTGATGAAGGGCCGATGCTCAAACGTCAGCTTTAGAAATTTTAACGGTGGCCAGTTTACATTATCAACTCAGTTGATAAAACCAAATTATCACGCTTTATACTATCATAATAAGTCTCTGTCGACTTTGTTTCTTTATCTGTTGTTTCGTTTTTTCGCTTGTCTTCATTTGTATGAACTTTGATATGGTACTGTTTTTGTCACCCACTGGAAAAGAAAGAAGTATAGGGTATGCCGACCGCAAGCCTCAGTTTCTCTCCTCACTGAAGCCTTCCACTATCCAGTATTAGAACATAGCTAGCAGAGTCACGCAATCAAATTCATCATACGTAAGCGTGCTCAAAATCCCGATACTGCACGCTGATAGCGTCAGCAAATCCGACTTCGCCAAAAATTTTTTTTCGCGCGAGCGGCCATTGTGAGCGCGGGGAAAAATAATATATTTCGCGACAATAAATGGATACAAACAGAAACTCGGCCTATTAGTCCGAAAACGAAGACAAATGTTTCGACCTTTTCCCTTGGGCCAGAGTTCTCAAATGAGGCAGAAAAAGAGAAAAACAAAGGAAAAGGAGACTCGGCATCAGCGCCGTCACGATTCGCTTCAACTGATATTGTTGTCGGTTTTTCTCGGCGGATTTGATGCACAATTCCACCGGCCATGTTCTAAAACAATTGGTTCATGCTTTCAGCCGTGCACTATCGAGTTATGGAGCACGTGGGAAGTTTGAAGAGCACTCAAGAAGCTAGAGTTGCCCTCGGCTGTCGCTTCGGGCAACTCTTACGCTTCTTTCGTGCTCTCCAAACTTCCCGCGTGCTCCATAACTCNTTTTTTTTCGCGCGAGCGGCCATTGTGAGCGCGGGGAAAAATAATATATTTCGCGACAATAATGGATACAAACAGAAACTCGGCCTACTAGTCCGAAAACGAAGACAATGTTTCGACCTTTTCCCTTGGGCTAGAGTTCTTAAATGAGGCAGAAAAAGAGAAAAACAAAGGAAAAGGAGACTCGGCATCAGCGCCGTCACGATTCGCTTCAACTGATATTGTTGTCCGTTTTTCTCGTCGGATTTGATGCACAATTCCACCGGCTATGTTCTAAAACAATTGGTTCATGCTTTCAGCTGTGTACTATCGAGTTATGGAGCACGTGGGAAGTCTGAAGAGCACTCAAGAAGCTACAGTTGCCCTCGGCTATCGCCTCGGGCAACTCTTACGCTTCTTTCGTGCTCTCCAAACTTCCCGCGTGCTCCATAACTCGACAGTGCACGCTAAAGCATGAACCAATTGTTAACTATAGAGCAGTGACCTCTTCCAGTTGAAAGTTAGATTAGACTGTGCATGAACCATACAGCACTTACAGTACCTTAAATTTGAAGCCGATTTTCCTGTAAGTAAGGGTGGCGCCATAGCTTTGCCATCATTACCTACACCCCAGCTCACACTTGCCAAGACAGTACCAGAGGTCAAGAGGTAGACCGGGGGTTGCGGCTCAGCAGCATTGTTAGAGGCAAAGTCAAGCGGTTGCCCTGGAAAAGACAAAGCAAAAATTGAAATAAGGTAAAGATGGAAGAGTGTGAGAGAGACAATATGCTAGCGCTTGCTGTGATAGACTCTGGATAAAAAGGTACAGGTTCACGGCCTGGCTGAGTTATTATGTTGTGATCCTTGGCAAGACATACACTGCCTCTCTTCGCCCACTTTGGGTACAGGTTTACCTTTCAGGGAAATCGTAAAAATTGCTAGGGGCGAAGGGGTTAAGGGGAAGAGGTAAAGGGGCGTGCACCACACAGCGACAGAATAGCATCTATCTTCATTCATAAGTAGTAAACTTTCTCTTTCACTTCATGCTGCAGACAACAGGATTATTACCCGCAATTATCGCAGTTATAAGCCACTTGGCATCTAAAATTAAACATTTAAAGTGAATAATGAAATGAGCGGATATTATCGGATGGCACAATTAGTATGGAAATTCACTAAGGAATGTATCCTACCTACGAGGGCGAATGAAATAAAAATACCCCGATAAGCAAATCTTGCAGATGCGCAAGGTAGCGTTAAGGCATTCTCTGAGGTTAATGTTGTGTACTCACCACTTCCTACACCTTCGTGTTTGTAGAAAACCTGATGATCACTACTGAACTCAAAAGACCCCAGCTCCACTCTCCCAGACATGTGACTAGGCTCAGGAATCGGTAGGAACAGCTCAGCAACAAGCTTGCTTTGCATACCAGATTCCATTAACTAATAAAGAAAGAAAAAGAAAGAAATCAAAACAAAACAAAACAAGCGCACGAGCCATAATGTTTGCTGAAGAATTGATGAATAGGAGTGCTTACCATTTTAATAGTAAAGCTTTTTATTCTAAAGGTTGCCATGTTAAAGATTTGTGTCTTCCTTTTGCAAAATTTTGTATAGGCCACTTGTCGGGTGAACGAAGTTTTGTATTCCTTTCAGACTTGAAACTTTTACGCTTCAAATTTTATAACCAGATGGTTCCTGAGCCCCAAGTCTTTGCCAACCCAGATGCGGTCCTACAGCAGGCCCAACCCCACAACAAGCATGTTGTTTACCGACTATATCTCAAAGCGTCGCTTGCGGAAATTGGTATAATAGCCCCTCAAAGCCCAAGGAACGAAACAGTGGAGTACAAATTAAAACAATCGACGAAGCTTTCTAACCTGGAGTTTGATGTTCTCTGGCCATTGGACAATCTGAATGTTGTGTATTTCACCAAAGTGGATCGCAAAGTCATTTGACAGTCTCCTATTCAACATAACACCAACAGTAATACCAAAATCAAAAGAAGGGGACAACACTATAAAGTAAAGATCAAGACACTTGTCACATTAGCTCTACTGTTACCCAGGAGTGATTGGAAGCAAGGGAAGCTAACGTCTGGTTGAAGAATTCTCTTTGGTATGCTGAATGACATAGAGTAGAGGATGTGCACTACGTGTGTGCAGGAAATTCAACTTACTTGACGATTGTCCTCGATACCTCTTTGCCATTGAACAAGACTTTAATGAATGCTGACCAGTTTTGCATCTCAGTGCGCCTCTGTTTCTCAGGCCTGAACAGTAAAAATACAAAACAGTCACAAATTGAGCAAAACCTAACTACAACCACACCACGTATGTCCAATTCCGAATACCTTCCGCTTACTTTTTTGCTATTCTTACTATTTCAGACTCTTTCTACTAAGATTGACAGACTGCAAACAGTCAACTGCTGTGCACCGTGAAGTGTCATGAAGGGCAATCCGAGCCATTACAATACTGTATAGTTAAGTCAATTTACCAACTCATTGCATTCAAACTCACACTAAGAACGCTACAATACCTTGTGACCTGATCAGTAGTGGTAACATTAGCTGTCATTTGAAGTTCAGGGATGAGGATAGGTTCGCCTACAATGCAATTTTGTTAACATTAACACTTTTTGATCGTGCCTCTTACGACCAAAAGCAAAGTCATCACAAACAAGTTGCCACAAACGAGAGGAGAAAACGAAGATCACCATGATGTGATTGGTTTAGTTTTGTTTCTAATTGGTAGAAAGGATGACGTACATTTTTCAGATAAATATCAAAGCGAAGTTAGAGAAAAATAAATGGATCTTGGAGTACTTTCGACACTGAACTGAAAATTGCTCTAAAATCACTGAAAACTTAATTAAACGAGTGAAGTCGTAACATTGTATCCTGCCACATGAAAATCAGGTAAGTAGTTAGGAAGAAAATTCATTTTGATTCGATCATTGTAATCAAAGTTTATTATTTCAGCCAAAGTTTCCTTGAAAACTAAATTTTCCATAAAACAACCACTCAGAAGATTTCCCTGATACCAATTTCCTTAGCAAACACAGGTGGCGAAAGACAGATTGTGTAAAACAACAAAACTGCTATGGATATCTCATACTACTGTTACCGCATTATACCTGGAGCGCGTCTCTTTTCCACAGCATTCTGTTTGAGGTTTTCGTACTCTGCTTCTTCGTCAAACTTCGGGGGACGTGTGGGTCGAGGAGGAACTGAGGAATACATCAAAAGATTTGAGAATACTTGGACCCTTTCATACCCCCCTCCCCCTTAACGACTGTTTCAACAGTTCCACAATCCCTCTTTTTTAAATAATAACCCATGGGACGGCAAAGTGCACCGGCATACTCTGCTGTTTCAATGTCATACTAAAAGTCACGCGGTTACAAATTCTCCTCCGTCTTTGTCCATTGCGAGCAAATATGTAACATAAGAACACTCATAAGGTAGACAAGCGACACAAGTCAGATATCGCGTATGAGTCTTTCTTCACACTTAGAACCAAAAGCCAAAGGACCTCAATATAATTATCACCTGGATGATTGTGGAGCAGCAGACGGTGTTGTTTCACTACACTTCATCAGTGATTACAGGGGCGCGGTGACGCGGATCTACATTATCACTTTCTTCATAAATCCTGCTATTAACACATTATATGCGAAAGACTACCGCACCCGAAAGTTACCCGGTTATTCTGAAATCGCTCCATTATTCATTCCAATAATTCTCAGAAAAAGATTGCTTGGTCTCAAGAGGATTAACTTACGTCCATCTGTTTCACCTTCTCCTTCGACAAGACTGGACTCTTGGGTTTCCTGGCGTGCTCTTTTCTGTTTATCAAATTTAAATTGAAACAAATGACATTTGGAAAAAAATCTACACGAGAAAAGTAATCGGTAAAGAACACAAGGTGATTCCAAGAAAAAGAACCATAGAATCATAAGCATCAGTTAACTCTAGCTTTGACTTTTCATGCCATTACAACATTTCAAGATTTGCTATACCTCCTAAGGTGTGGATTGGTAATGTGTTTGACTTAAGGTTCAAAATTCAGAACTTTAGCCCTGGACATATTCTCTAGGTTCTTTAGCGAGACACGCAACTCCCACCAAGTTTTTCTACACCAAGGAATCTTCTGTCGAGCCTTTGGTCCAGTGACACCGCCACAGATTACCCTTATTGTTGGTTTGCGAAGCCTAAAGCCATTAAGGGTGTTGTTAATGTTCCTGGTTGGGAAGCTGAGTTGGTTCACTGCAGGTAACCCTGACAGTCTGCCGGTCCCTATGTATACCCCTGAGTAAAGAGAGGCGTGGGGAGAGTACGACATCCTGCGCAAGAACATGACGACCTGTCCAGGGCTTAGACCAGACCTCTAAGCCCAGAGTCAAGCGTGCTAAGCAATGAACTATAGCATCTCATCCAAGAGGTGGAAAGGGGAGGGAGGGAGAGGGGGGAGGGGGGAGGGTAGAGATAACAATATTCATTGCCACTTGATGTTGTGAAAAACGAGCTCCAGCCACCGAGCTCGTGTGAAGACATTTTAACTTATATTTATTCCTTACAGTAATGCTGGCTACGTAAAGGGCTTCAAGTAAGCCACACCCAAAATTCGTCTACATGGTGATATCATTCCGCCATTTTGTCGTCTATGTAGCATTCAAAATAATTTGGATATATCAACAAAGTTGAAATGGTAAATTGGCCACCGTAACGATTACAAAAGCTGACGTTTCGAGCCTTTATATAGCATTCAGTTACAAAGTATATACCCTAGTACAACATCTGCCTACGTTAGGGATCAGTGGCAAAAGTGAGTACTGAACAGTGAAGTATTATGTACCCTTCTCTTTGCTTCTTTTTTCCACTCTCTTAATTCCTCCTCATACTCCGCTTGTTTGCTTAGATATTCTTCATCAAACTCTTCCCTATAAGCAATGAAACAATTCATTTATAAATGTTTGTTCTTTTCAAATCTCAGCAAAACTGGGTAAAAAGGTTATCCTATTGAAGCACACTAAAAAAAAAACCATTAGCCATGTTATACAAGTTCATTCTTATGATAAATATGTCATCCTCACCTTCTTTCTTGTAGTTCGTCAGCCAATTCTTCCTCAAACAATGCCTGATCCTCTTCTTTATTTGTTTCCTCTCTGCACATAGAATTCAGAAACCCATGACTCAGAAATTTTAGAGTTAATGCATTTTGAACAGTGAAAGAATTAGGAAGGAATTTATTTTTTTCAGTCATTCACTTCATTTTTGACCAGGAGTTTTAGTCTTACATGTATTGGAAATATTAGCCCAAAAATCTTCTAAAATGGTGTGGTTTGCTGTAGCACAAGTGCCCTGACATGGCGCAGCGTTGTACTGCATTGTATTAGAGTATTATTTGACAAGAAAATGTAGAAAATGGCCTCAACAGTCAAGCTAACCCGGGAGAGCGAGCTAATGAGACATATGCGATTTACAACTAAAGAAATTGAGCAACTTTTAGTGTTTGTACAATAAAATTACCCATTACATCTCTCAGTTACTACGTTTACTGTGATTGGTTAATTTAGAAGACTTTACTCTCGTTAGCTACCGCCAGTTTTCCTTAATTTTTTATGAGTAAATGAGAGTTTGAAGCTTTTGTTTTCTTTCTGTTTGAAATTACTTTTCTGCATTCGATGTGCATCACTCCATTGAAGACCTGTGTGAAACTAGAATTCTTTCCCAACCCGTCAACGGACCTGGAACTCAGTTACAAAGAGGTATGTACAATATGTTTTTTAAACAATTTCAATACCTTCTTATCGTCAACTTTAACTGGGTGTTCACATAACCCTGGTATTCTCTGAGAGTTTTAATTTCACGCCAGCACCTAACATAAACGAAGGAAAAAAAGAACAAAAATACCTGTCCACTTTTATAACAAACACATAAAGAAAATTATTTTGACATCAATACGTGTATCACTCATGGTCTTCAAATAGATCCAAACTTACTTTAACAAGTTCTTGAGTAAAATTCTATCGCTGTGGTCCTCTGAATCTCGTAGTTTTCTTGTTTGTCTGTTATACAATGCAAATGAAAATGAATATTTAATATTGGAAAAGAAGCAACTGAAGAAACAGGTTAACTGGTATCTCCAAAATTTTTTCAATAGTTTACATATATGTACCAGTTATGCACTCCACATCGTCTATGTATAATGACATAAACACTGACATGGCTGACATAAGAGCAAGTGCTCAATTATAGAGCAAGGTGGCCTGTTGCTGAAGATCCATTGAAGAGAAGGAAAGCAATATTTTCTCCTAAACAACCTCAATTACTTAATTTTTTCCACGTAATGTTTTTAGCTTAGGTCCTCCTCTATGAGTGGCAAAACTTCAAAGGTGAAGAATGCTTGAGTAACCGCGTAATTTTGATCGAAGAGAAATATTTACTTCGTACTACAATGTGAGATTCCAAAGACCAAACCACAGTCATGCAAGTGTTTCAAAATTGTCTTATGATGTCTTTAAAATTCAACTGTGGATGCCTGGGCACTACTTTGGATAAAACTCAGAAACCTAGCTGTACCTGCATGGTCTCCCACAATTCAACCAACAGGGAAGCGCTGTTCTGGTTATCATTGCTCTTAATTGTTCAAACAAATTTCCAAGAACCTTTTGACTCCCATGCATCTAATTTCTCATTACAGTACCAACCCTAAATCACACATTAAGGTCATGAGAAAAGAGGAAATGATCACCAACTAAGTAAAGAGGCTTTTGATTTTTTAAACAATTCTCCTTGTCAGCACCCTATGAAATGCTTAGGGAAGTGTGGAGAATACGCATACTCTTGTTAGATTGTAAAGAGTTGATGGTGGAAAAAAAATGATGTCATAGTTTCTTGAGTATACATCTCTTTTATAGAAAATTTCAGGTTCAAAAAAAGTTTTCTCAAACCTGATTTGATCTTTGTACTCTTTAATTCTCTTGTCTGTATCTGATATTGAAACTGCTCTTGCTTTTCCTTTTCCCTGTGTGATGAAAAGAAAAATCCAATAAAATCATTTTACAATCAAATAATACCAAAAATAGCATAAGAGCTCACAGCTAAGGTTCATTGTCGCTGCAGACCAAAAAAAAAATATTAAGTTATCCCAGAAGTCAAATGTGAAGCAATACTGGGGCTTCAGGACCACACTTCAAAGTGTATCAAATTAAATTGAGAGCAACCTTACCACCTTTTCTGCATTTTCTTGAAGCTGCTGAAGAGCAATCTTTAATGCTGTCAGCTGAAGAAAAATATAAATATCAAGGCAAAGAGTAACTTTAGTTTCTTAGAAAATGGTTTGGACAAAAGATTCTGGTCTGTGAGAATCTTGATGAGGAGAGTAACCTATGAGATACCATGGCATTTCAACCACCTGAGCTAAAGTCACTCAAGGCATAATGCAGTGCATTCCATTAATTTTCAAACAACAGAAAAAAGGGTAATTTTCTAGTCATTGAACTATCCCCATTATTTGATAAAAATCTTTGGAAGCTTCTCCTTGAGATTTCTACGGTAATCTCCCCAAATATGATTACATTTACAGTGTCGAAAGAAGCAGGTTAATCAAATTTGCATGCATGTTAAAATGAACAACACCTTGTCGGAATAGTGGGAGGAAAGGGCTTTTCTCCTTCTCTCTGTATACTGTTTATGGTGCTGCTGTAGTCTGGAAGCCAAGACATGTTCCTTGCTGAACAATGGGTGATGGGTGAAAGTCAGAGTGGATAAATCAACATCAAGCTGATATTGAGCACCTCCCTCATCTATGGAAATAAAAAGAGATCATATTCTTCACCCATATAATTATTTAGCAATGATTTATGAATAATATGACCAAATTGTAAGGGAACTTCATACTTCCTACCTGTTGTTTATTTTACAGGATTAAAATCATGACAACCTGCATTATGTTCAATTAGTTTTGTGCCTAATGCTGTCATAAAAAGTTCCTTTTCAGTATCATTTTTCCTCAGATTATTTCCTAAATGAATTTTAATACTATAAATATGCATACAGAACAAAATGCTTTCTTCAAACAAGCATGACCTTCTCCCAGTCATGGCACTTTATGATCACAAGATCAAATTGAAACCAGTCAGTCAGAATAAATGTCTACTACACAATAAACCACGAGAGGTCCAACAAAATACAACTAATACCTCTAGTGCACACAAATAGTGAATAAGAAAAAGCAACTTAATACAATGAATTTTAGAGTTATACAGTAATATGGTTAAAAAATGTCAAGCTCTTAATCTTACCTGTTGAGCCTATGAATCTGCCATCAAATGGCTCCACTTGGGCCTAAACAAAGGAGATAAGACAAGACTGATCCAAGAGATGGCACAGCCACAGGCAACTAGATTTTGTTTTATAAATGACATGTCTTTGCTTAATGATAATATGTCAGGGGTTTTAAGATTTTGGAGTGTAAAGCCTGCAAGCATCTGCAATTCTTTTCCAAAATTTATATTTTACAAAATCATACCTTTATCCACTCTGTTTGTAACAGAGGATCAACCTCCTCAAGGTTTATAACTGGAGGTCTTGTTGGTTTTTCCTTCAGTGGAGAGGATAACCTCTTCAACTGGCCATCTTCTCCAAACCAATGGGTCTGGTTGCCCTCCTTTATCCTGTTTTCCATAATGTTCAAATTGGCAGGAGAAACTTGTGGTGGTTTGCCCACATAGAAACCCTCTTCTTCCCAAAATCGAGGCTCAACACCTTCAGGGACTTTTTCATCCAATGGAACTGAAAAAAAGAATAAAACTGAATGTCATTTCTTGTAGATTATAATTATAACAGTTATTTGCCAGTTTGAAGGGAATTATTTACTTTTAACATAATCGCACGGCATGGGCAAGTTTGTAAATAAACCTGGGTTAAAAACAGATTTAACAATGAAAGTAAATCCACTATCTCATCCACTATCTCCTCATTGAAGTATTATTCAGAGTGTATGTTTTTGTGAGGGGAAATAAACCTTAAGAAAAAACTCTCTTGAGGGTTATTCCAAGTTTGCCATTTGTAAGCTATTCTACCCTTGATTGCTACTCTTAGAATTGATTAACAAACCTTACACCTAATTCTAAGAATAAGAGCATTCAGATCAAGCTACTGGGGCAAGAACTGGGTACTCTTCCACTTTACTGTTATAGTTGTTCTCTTAAATAGTGAACTTAAATACTTGTCCAGTGGTGATGATACTATACTTCAATCAGTAATGAAATACAGTGTCATGTAATATACACCACTCTGTTGGTGTATGTAAGTTCAAGTGCACAACATGTATTTTTTTCAGAAGATCTTAGCAGGAACAACATTGGATCTTACCAGATCTCATACTGGGTATATTGTAAATTTCGATTTCATCCTCTAACTGTTTTGCCAGTGGTTTATAGGGAGGCTTGCCCCAGAATGTCAGCAGTTCATTTTCTCTTAGTGGCTGTTCAGTTGGCTCCTAAGACAATCAATCTTTGAGTTAGTGCATGTACATTGTATAATTAACAATTATAATGTGTTAACAGATTAATAAATAAAATCATTCTACAGAACTACCAACCAAAGTGAAATGCCCAAAGTATTACTGATTGGAATGGGCAATCTGGTGCACAGCACATTTACAGTGTATTACCTCGGGTTCTTCTTCAGTGTCCTCTGCTTCTCTCTTGTCTTTGTCCATTGTCTCTTTTCCCACAAAAAAATTGAATGCTTCTTCTTCTGTGGGGATACCCTGAAAAAAAAAAAGAGCAATAAAATTACACTTACAATATAAATAACAAGCATTCATGTTGTAATTTAAATAATTTTTCCACATATCAGGACTGGAATGATGGAAAATACTGGTCAAAGTATATTAAATTCATTTTGACCTGAAATTCCCTTTTAACTACTACATCTACATTCAAATAAGAGGTTTACCTTCTAAATATGATGAATGCTTCAAACATAAATATTGCAACTTCTTGAGAAGGGGGTATCTAGAGTGCACCATGCTCATTAGCAGGTGCTCGGCTCCAAGTTCAAAACCTCTACCCCTTTATGGATACCAACAGACTAATAAGTGTAGAATTCTTCATGCCAACGTTATGAATGTATTTGGATACTGGGAAGAGTGAGCTTCACATCTCTGCTACTCAATCAGTGCCAATGAAATTTAAAAGTGGTACCCCCAATCCATATTTGACTATCTTCATTTTACAGGTATTTAATTCTTTTGGCTTTCTCATTCTCAGAGGGCAAATTATACAATCATGAAATTTAGCTCTATGAGCGTCAATTTTAAATTGCATTTATGTTATATGTGTACTGTTAAGGGCAAGATGTCTGGTTCTTCCGTCACTCAGCATCAAGAATAAGCTGCAAACAAAAATACCAGACAGTAATTACTTTTTACTGTTAGTAGGAAATAGCACATGTAGATACCTCTGCAGCTCTCTGTCGTGTCAGTGTAGCCATCTTTCTCCATTTGTTTGCACTTGCTATGCTTGCTTGAAGTTCAGCATCTTCTGTGTCATCTTCTTCTGGAACATCACCCAAAAGCTAAAGAAAATCAAAGTCTTTAATATGAACACATTTAATTTACTAGAAGTGAGATTTTCTAGTGATTAACATGGCCAGCTACACAAGAAAGCCTTTGATATTAATAACTGCAAAAAGAGTAACAATTACAACAATCATAAACCTTAAAATGAAAATATTACCAAAAGTATTTTCAGTGATCTAGAAGAAATAGTCATTATGCCTGTGCCCTATACAAAATGTACTGTACACTACAATGTACATTATGGATTGTGTGCTATGGTGATGAAATTCTAATCAGAAGTTACACAGTGTTTTTACAACATTTAATCATAGAGCATGCAATTAAAAGAATTCATAAGACTTTAAACTGGCTTGAAAATTGTAAACAGAAAAAAACTTCAGCCTCAAAGAAAGACATCTACATCCTCACACATGTCAGCTGAGGCACACATTGTTAAACACATTAAGTAAAATTGTTATTTAGCCTAGAATTCATATTATCATAAGTTACTAATTTTAAAATGAAACTTCATTTTACCCCTGCATCATCAAATCTTGTTGGTAAAGGTCTGTCTCTTAAGCCACGCAGTCTTCGTTTTGGTGTGCCCTGATGGAGGCAAAAAGGAGGAATGTCATTTTGTATTTGGTGACCAAAACAATTTCATTAAAATACATCATTAGAGAGAGTTCTTTATAAACGTATCAGTTAAACAAGGCTGAGAACTTCACTTAAACAGATAAAATTACTGTAGTAGCAAACGTATGTGACTTTGCATGTATGCCTTACTATCACTAAAGTAATTTGAATCTTTTTGTAAACCTAGATTAATCAGACAAGTGTACCTCTCCTTCTCCAGATCTGGGAACTGCCTAAAACAAGAGGTATGATCAGTTTTTAGAGTATTATTAATATCTTTGGATACTTCTATTAAAATATATATTAATTTAGTATAAACTAAAACAGTGGATAGCTTTTAAGGTGCCTTCTAAACTCAAATTCCAAATTTCCTTTGTTATTCACCTCTGAGCAACTCAAAGGGGATTTGCACCAAAAATATTATAATTAATGCAGAAATAAAGGGTCTGTCCTGGAACCATTATTATTTATCGTATTTATAAATGATCTACCTAGGCTAGTACTGTACATCGTGGTAAAATAGTCTTGTATGCTGACGATACTGCTCTATTTTTTGCCGATAGAAACATTCAAACTATTCACTCAATCCACTCTACAAGAAGACTTGAATGCCATTGGCGAATGGTTTTCTTTGAATCGCGTGCTAGTAAACTGACTGCGACAAAACCATTGTCATGCGTTTTGCTTTAAACAGTGTCTCGCAAGATCACAAGGACTCCTTATTTTTATTGCCAGGGCAATCTTCTGGAGCTGTCAAACACTGTGAAATACTTGGGTTTAATTTTTGATGCTTCTATGGACTGGCATGAACACATAAACAGCATTTCTAATAAAGTAACTCATACATTAAATTCATTGGGAAGAATTCGCAAATATTTAGATACTGATACCTGTAAGCTTTTATATATGACTTTAGTTCAGCCTTTAATGGAATATTGTGATATTGTCTAGTCCAATGCTGATAGCACATCTCTTCAAAGACTTCTTAGGCTTCAGAAACGGATTATTCTCCAAAAGAAGATTAGGGAAGACCGTGCGGCAAATTTGTTTTGTGAACTGGGATATGGGTCTCCTTGTTGGAATGTTGGAACTTTCACAAGTGTGTAACTGTATTTAAATGCCTTAATGGACATTATCCACCCTATCTGAGAAGGCTTTTTTCCTATAATTCAGATTTCCACCATTACAATACCAGAAATAGAGGGAATCTACATATGGTCAAAATAACTTAGAACTAAATCTGGCTACAGGTCATTTACCTATTCAGCTGCTAAACTATTTAACAACCTTGATCATGCCAAAAAATGCTCCCTGACACTTAAAGAGTTTGTAAATAACAACTGGCCTAAATAACTTGTAATAATCTAAGTATATAAATCGGCATCGTAGGTTTATTGTTAACGGAACAAGGACAAAGGGTTATTTATTTATTTATTTTAACGTTTACAATATATTAATATATATATATTTGTGTGTGTATGTTTTTAATATTTTAGATGCACAGCTTCACTGCAAATAAGTGACTAAGCTCTATGGATTCTGTGCCTAATAAAGCATCTATCTATCTATCTAAATGAGTTAAAATCATCTTTTGGTGCTTAATATTATCTCACTGCTTTAGTATAAATTTACGATTAAAAACAACTATTCATATCAGTGTCTGTGGCTACTGCTTGATATTTACCTTGCTACATTGGGTTAGGTAAATACTGTAGTACCCTGGCTTCTAACTCAAACTCCCAAGGAAAACAAAAAGTGGTTAGAGTAAGCAAGGGTGTGAGTTAGCTGATAGTTGAGGACTGAAAAAGTGGGTCAAAGAAAATCAGATCTAGCTTGAGTTACTAAGGGGGGGGGGGGAGGGGGTTCCAGTTAATGTGATTCAACTGCATCAACCACTGACCACCTTCACTTTGGTGAAAAGTTGTTAACTATTTACACTCAAACATGGCTTTTGCATTAATGCAAATTGATATCAATTTGGAGACCCTTCTAACAAGTTTATTCCATTATTGGAACTTTTCAGGATACTTATGCTAGAGTGGACTTTCACTCTTCATGCGTGCTTCAAATAAATCTTGGCTGAAGTTTGGAAAGTTGATGTAGATAGAGTCTCTACTTCCTTTGCCAAGTCCATAAGAACAGAATGTGCTGTTAGTGTTTTAAAAATACCTGTTTTCCTCGCACTTTACTTCTGAGCCTTTCTCTAATAGAGGCATTCAGACTCATGCTTTCCCCTGGTGATGAGGACTTGCCAGAATCCATAATTTGCTGAAGCCTGGGGCCTGGTTCACTAAGCCTGGAGGGACCTTTGAAGATGATTAGAACATAATGATCAAGGAGTGTTGGATAAATAAACGAAAAAATGACATGGATAATACAATTTATGCTAGTATATACAAATTTTGAAAAGAAAAAGCCTCTTCTTTAAATCACACAATTATCAACTAGAGGTTAATCAAGTATGGACACTGCAAACTGTCCATGTTTGCAATACTATATGTAACCTTCAAACAAATTAGCCCCATGCACAATCAGTTTTAGGTGTGTGTTTTTTTCTCGAATTTGAATGACCATTTATATTCTACATATAGGTTGCAACCAAATAAACTTAAACTGCTGCCAGAATGCTCTCATGACTATTACTGATTAGCACTTGTGAGACACTTGCTTGAACACTCGATCGTTACTAAAAATTTGAATCCTTGTTTTGGTGTTAAAAAGGCAAATCATTGGGTTATAATGATTCTTAAGAGATATGTAATCTATAAAAGGTTGCGCTGACAATCAGTAACAGTGCAGAATGTCTTTAATACCTTTTTGTAAGATATAAGACAGCTGCTGGGTAATTCAAGACTTGGACTTTTTCACCGAGAACCAAGTAATAGGGCTAATTATAATTTAACTGCAATTTTGAAAATTAGAAATAGGGGCAACCTGCAGACGGTGATTCTGCATTGGTCCTTTCTTCTCCCCATGCCCCATCAAAAGTATTGGAAAGCTGAAACAGTGATAAAAATACAGCTTTAAGTGAAGAAAACATAAAGAGCTACATTGCATGCAAAAATGAGATACATGACATCAGTTCTTTTAAATGGTATGCAAATGAATCTTGACAGCTACAGTCGTTACCCAGGCATAAACCTTTTAGAAATACAGCTTTAAGTGAAGAACAAATGAAGAGCTACAGAGTATGCAACAAGATACAAGACATCTTTAAAATGGTATGCAAATGTTCTTGACAGCTAAACAGCTTTTACAACTGTAAGGTGTGTCTTGCATATACAGTCGCTACCCATCAATGTTTCCAGCAAACATCACCAGTCAAGTCTGAAGATAATAACTAATGGCCATAACTCTCTGCAAGGTTTTCTCTCCTCAAAGACCAAAGTGACTTAATATCAATGATATTTAAAATTGTTTGTTCTCTACTCTACCCTAAAAGTGAACTTTTTGAATAAAAAAAAGAAGTCAAATTCAGGTCATCATAATTACTCCAATGAGCAGCCACTAATACTCACGGTCTTCAAATAAGTGAGGAGAATTTGCTACCTTTCTATATTCAAGAAATGGATAGATATTCTAGTATTCTTGGATAAGAACGAATAAACTGTGGGCCCCGTCTGCTGCAGGGTTAGGGGTAGGAGACGTTAATTTCCCACGCACGAGATTACTGTGTGGTGGATGTCCTCCCCTGGGCGGGATGGGTGGGTGTTGGCCCTGAAAAGCCCCTATGGAGAGTGGTCAATTAACATATGCACATGTATGTATGTATGTATGTATCATCTTGAGACCTATATACTTCCTCTCCTTGAATTACACCGCACTATTGCTATAAACAAACATTGTACCTCATCTTTTCTCTGCTGCCTTCTTGTCTGAAGATCCTGTAGCAAATCCCCATCTTCTTCAAGATCCTGTAAAGACTGCAAGTAAAACCAACCTTGTAAATACTTTTCTAAGGAAGAAACATAGAAGAGAAGCATGAATAGAATGGACAAAAGCATTCTCTGAGTCAGAATGAAATTTCACGACTACAACCTACGCGCCCAGGATGCAGACCGGGGCGGAGGAAAGTGAAATCTGTTGATATCGTCGGTGGGGAAACATGGAAACATTCTACGCTCTTGGATAGTGACACTTTTAAGAGTTTAAATGTTTTTGGAGATCAAAACAGAGGACATTTGCATACTTCATCGAGGAACTTATTAAATATTCAAGTTGACACTCCTGGCAGTGGCAATCATAACAATAGCATTCTCACTTCCCGCCTGCCTGTCTCTACAATAGATCCAGCTCTTGATACGGGCTCGCAGACGACCCAAAGTGAGCAGCCGCTGCTGGGAAAGTCAGCTTATCATGTACCGAAGATTATGGTTACAAAAGTAATCTCCTTAGTACCTAAGATTGATGAGGTGCAGGAATTTATTCATCGAAGCAAGGCCGGTCTGGTATTCATTACTGAAACTTGGCTGAAATCAAGTATCCAAGACTCTGTTATTGACATTTCTGGTTATACCATTCTACGAAAGGACCGGTCCTTAGATAACCACCGCGGGGTCTGCATCTACTTGAAGGATGATGCTTTTAAATACAATCGGCTTGATGAACTCTCGTGCTGTGATGAGCATGAAACGTTATGGGTACAGCTACGCCCTCCTCACCTTTCAAGGGACTTTTCCTCCTTAATCGCAGCAGTTATATATCATCCCTGCTGGTCAAAGCCCAAAAATGATTTAAATGAGTGATCACTTATACAAATCATTCTCCTTAGCTGAGTCTAAATTTCCTAATTGTGCTTTGATCGTGGCTGGCGATTTTAATTGCCTTGATGTCAAGTCGATAAAATGCCACTTTCGTCTGAAGCAAATTGTAAAGAAGCCTACAAGAAAAAGTGCAATTCTCGACTTGGTGCTTACTAATTTGCACGAATTCTATGTCACTCCACAATCGTTTCCACGTTTTGGTCTCTCTGATCATAATACCGTCACTGCCAATGCAAGGGCTAGAGACACCAATGATGACACTTCAGTCAAGGTAGTACTCAAGCGAGACAAAATTAATGAGCAAGCTGGAAAGCTGAACTAGGCCGATATCTAAATTCCATGGACTGGTCTTGCTTGTTCGCGAACGCTCAAAACTGCCAGGACATGGTAAATGTATTCCAGGAAAGTGATACAAACAGGACTGGACTGCCTGATGTCTATGAAAACAGTCCGTGTCAATACATCTGATGTCCCATGGATGACCCAACACTTAAAAGGTCTTATATTGAAAAGGCAAAAGGCCTCTCACACTCATGGTGCGGAATCAGCGCAGTACAAGTTCTTTAGGAACATTGTAAATTGTGAAAGGAAAAATTGCAAAGGGAACTTCTATAACACCAAGATTGTACATGCGAAGGACGACAATCCAAAGTTATGGTGGAAAGAAGTGAAGTGGCTCTGTGGCGCCAAGTCCCACTCAGGCGACTTGAAACACTGGATTCAAATAGGTGTCGAGGATCTGTCTGATCAGGATCTAGCTAATATGATCAACAAAGCTCTTTTGGAGTCTCTTGAGGAATATCGCCTGATGCAACCACTGGTCAAGGTACCCATGGAGATTGATACGCCAGATCTACATGAAAATTAATATCAGAACTATGGATTCTACAGTTGCTATCCAAGCTCAACCCATCTAAGGCGAGTGGCCTGGATGAGGTGCCAAATTGGCTCTTGAAGGAATTCGCGGATTTTCTTTCTTTCCCAGTCAGCAAAATCATCAGTGCATCACTTAGAGAGCAGTGCTTGCCGCATATATGGAAACTTGCTGATGTGACCCCCCTACCCAAGAGGAAGCCTGTAGAAGATCCCAAGAAAGACTTGAGACCAATCTCACTGATGGCATGCCTCTCTTAGGTGGCAGAGGAATGTGTTGTAAGTGATTATGTCAAACCAGCTGTCTTGAGAGTTTTGGATCCAAACCAGTATGAGGTTGTGCTGAACTCCTCTACAACCCAAGCTCTGATTCACGTGATTCAATGATGGGCACAAGTGACTGACGGAAATGGCGCCACCGTGAGAGCCACACTATATGATTATAGGAAGGCTTTTGATCTTATAGATCATGACATTTTAGTTAGGAAGCTGACCGTCTTGGAGATACCCAAACAGATAATTAATTGGATCATACATTTTTTGTCGGGCCGTTTTCAGCCAATTAAACTTGCAAAGGGTTGTTTTTCCGAGTGGGAGTCAGTTCCATCCAGCGTCCCACAAGGAACAAAGCTAGGGCCGTGGTTATTTCTTGTGCTTATTAATGATCTTGAAGTAAGTAGTGGCATAAATGCCGAAATGTGGAAATATGCTGATGACACTATGACCTCAGAAGTTGTCATCAAAGGAAGGACATGTATTTCGCAAAGGATAGCTGACCGTGGAATGAAATGGTCCTCTTAAAATAGGGTACAACTGAACAATGATAAATGTAAAGAGCTTTGAATTAGTTTCAGTAAACAAAAGCAGGAGTTTCCTCCAATTATAGTTAATGGGAAAGGTGCAGAGACTGTAAAGTCAGCAAAACTCCTTGGGGTCACCATAAGTGATGACCTGTCATGGAACGAGCATGTTAGTGAGGTTATAAACAAGGCCTCTAAACGTTTGTATTTTTTGGTGCAGCTTAAGAGGGCGAGACTCCCGACAAGTGAATTAGTCTTATTCTATTGTACTTCCATTCGATCCATACTTAGTTATGCGGTAGCGGCGTTCTTTTACTTGCTGCCATTGTATGTCAAGACAGAACTGGAGCGTGTCCAGAAAAGGGCGCTGGCTATTATTTTCCCAGGGATAGACTACAGTGATGCTTTAGTCAGCACTAAACTACCAAGCATTGAACGTTACAATAAAAATATTTGTAAGAAGACCTTTAATTCTATTTTAAATGATAAACATTAAGAGTAACTGGTTATGAAATCTTTTACCCTCAGCCCATAAGTCGTCTTACCATCTAAGACGATGCAGGCGTTTTGAAACACCAAGGTGGAAAACAAATAGGTTCAGGGACACATTTTTAGTGAAATCTTGTATTGAGCATGATATTATATAAATATAGCTTTATTAATTTTAATAATACGTTTCATCATTTTACAGTATTCAATTTCACTTTTAGGCTTATTATTATTCTTACATTAGTCATACTTTTGGACATTCTGTTACAATTTTTGTAAATACACAATTCAGCCCCTTAGAGGGCTGCCATGTATTTATTTGTGAAATAAACCTTTAAACCTTAAAAGAGAATGTAGGTGGGTGACAAGAAGCCAGGATTACTCCCAGTTTGCAAAAATTCTTTTTAATTCAGCTTCTACATCCATTATTTGCAGACTGTCAGGGGAAGAAGACTGGCAGTATTCAATAAAAATGCAGAAATCCACATTTTGAAGTGACCAAATCATGCAACAAACATTATTGAACTTTAATACAATATTGTCAGTAGAAGTTAAGCATTTTTTATATTTACAGTTGATAAAATTCATACGTGTATACTCGTGGAATATAGTTTACATAAATAGCATAACTGATCTTCAAAACTTTTTGAAAGGCTCACCTCAACCATGGTGTCTCCTGCTGGACTAAGAGTCTCTATCTCTGTCCTAGTTGCTGGTCTTACAGGCTATAATTAATAAATGACCCAAAAAGGAATAAATTATATAATGGCCTGGTATGTAAAAGTGCAAAATAAGGCAAATCCTGGGTTCTGATTGGTTATTCAAGCAGGCAAGATGGGTCTTTCTTACATATCGAGGATGATGCCCACTTTGACACAACCTCAGTCACAAAAAGGCAGAAAAAAAAAAAACTTGGCTCATATCTTGCCATCCTGATAACACATTTGGTCAATAGTCCTAAGTAGTTTATACTACAGAATGTACAATTAAGGCTCATGCTATAGTATGACTGATTTATATTGAAAAGAAAACTAGATATTAGAAAAAATGAAAAAGTAAATGAGTGAAAAAATAATTATCTTAATACTAATTAGAACATAGCTAGCAGAGTCGCGCAATCAAATTCATTATAAGTAAGCGTGCTCAAAATCCCGATAGTGCACGCTGATAGCGTCAGCAAATCCGACTTCGCCAAAAAAATTTTTTTTCGCGCGAGCGGCCATTGCTAGTGCGGGGAAAAATAATGCATTTCGCGACAATAATGGATACAAACAGAAACTCGGCCTGCTATTCCGAAAACGAAGACAATGTTTCGACCTTTTCCCATGGGCTAGAGTTCTTAAATGAGGCAGAAAAAGAGAAAAACAAAGGAAAAGGAGACTTGGCATCAGCGCCGTCACGATTCGCTTCAACTGATATTGGTGTCCGTTTTTCGCGTCGCATTTGATGCACAATTCCACCGGCTATGTTCTAAAACAATTGGTTCATGCTTTCAGCTGTGCACTTATCGAGTTATGGAGCACCTGGATAGTTTGGAGAGCACTCAAAAAGCTAGAGTTGCCCTCGGCTATCGCCTCGGGCAACTCTTACGCTTCTTTCGTGCTCTCCAAACTTCCCGCGTGCTCCATAACTCGATAGTGCACGCTAAAGCATGAACCAATTGTTAATTCTAGCAAATTTCTTCTGAAACAAATACATGTATAAAATTGTACTTTTATGGTGACATGGGCAAGGGGCAATAACAACAACAGAAACTAACCGTGTCTGTGCTGCGTACTGGAGTCACTGTTTGATGTAGAGTGTCCTCTGTGTCAGATCTGTAAGATCCTGTGTCTGACATTATTGTGGCCTATATATATTCATGTTTTTGAAAGATAATGGAGATAGATAAACAATAGCATCTATTTGGTGTGAAAATATACACAGATATTTGTCTTTGGAAATTATCTGTTTCGAGATGCAAACAGTTTTCCGAGAGCGAAGCTCAAAGTATCTATAAGCTTTAAGGAACAGATAATATTCATGGACAAATAATTATACACTACAATAATTATTCTTAGCACAAAATAGAGGCTATTGTGTTTATTATCTTTCAAATATCTTGCAGCAGGTGTGAAAAAATGTTTATGAATAGCTTACTGCAAGCTGTTTGCTGCATGGGATGTTTTCCTTTGAGTGTCCTCTGGCTGGGCTTTATGAACAAACAAATATTTCCCTTCTTTTGAAACAACCACTAAATGGTCTCTCATCTTCACGCACTTAAACTTTAAATGAAGACTCATTGTAGTGGATGTAAGGTTTGAAAATTGGGGAATATCCCTTTGGTGATACCCTCAGAATCCCACAGTTTTAGATTGTGAACATTAGGTCATGTGATGCACTTGGATCAATTGTGCATGAGCAAAAATATTTGATGGATCATATAACAACAGATAACCATGCACATTGTACTGAATGTTGAGAGAGAAATAAAACGTTTTTGCAGAATTATCTGAGAATAAAAATACTTCTTCATAAATACCTGCATACAGCACAACTAGAAATGTAACATTTAACCGTACATCAATTACCTCCATTGCAGCCCTTCTCTTTTTCATCTTTTCTCTCAAAGCTCTGCAGTAACAAGCAACAAAAATAACCATTTAAAGGATTTAAAATGACTGCACGATTACTTCCTGGTGTTTTAAACAACAGTGTAGTCGGGCACAAAATCAAAATAATCAAATCTTGAACAAATTTTTTAGTGTGGGTACTAATTAGACGGTTAACAAATCATGATTGCTATTGAACAGAGTCGAAACACTCTTTATGCATCATGGTTCTTAATTAACGACACATTTTCTTTCTTATGTAACTCACAGCTCAGCTCATCAGTTTATAAATTTACATGGATGCACTCATTATGTATTAAAACTAACCTGTCAGTACTGTCCATGTTGCTTCTTTAACGTTTCTTAATTTATGGCCTTGTTCAATGTTTGGTGACTATCGCTTCTGCATCAGCCAAAGTCAGCTGACTTCGATCACCTCAGTCGTCATTGTCAAGCTTTAAATTTCACAAACATGAACTTCTGTTTCTTAAAGTCTTCCAAAGTCATTCAGAGATTTTTTCCTCCATGCTGCAGCCATTTTATCCTTGTAGAATACTGCTAACTCAAGATTTAGAGGAAGTTTTAAACTTAAACAACATAAACATCTCTCGATCGGTGATCAACCATGGATTACAAACTCGTTTATGTTCCCATGGCACCATGCATGTGCTTACATAAAACCACTCAGTACTTCAAATAAACTATATGCACTTATTTTACTAGGATGACCTCCAAGAAAATTCACAAAATCCGAACAGAAATCCACGAAACAAGTAAACAAAAAGTAGCCATATTTTCCTCTGCAGAAATTCGCGCGGATAATATAATTAGTTCCCAGTTTTCTCGCTTATCGAAACTACCCAGAATTCTTGTTAACTTCTGCCATGACTGTTGCCAAAACACTAAAGTGTTGAATTTTTTTATATTTCACCTATTACCATACCATTTTCCACGAGAATGAAAAGCTGCTGACTGAACATATGAAGGACTGATGGTATGGTTGCTTGAGAGAAAAAAAAATCTAAGTTCATTTTGGGCGAAATTTGGCGTTGTAACCGGTTCTGCAACTGATTTTTACAATTGAACCGTAAGGAATCATTCGTGATAACATCTCGGAATTATGGTAGGTCTCTCTGTTTTTTATGTATGTTGATTCATTGCATACTCCCTTAGCCTATTTTCGCTGTCATGATGATGATTATCACAGTGACTTTTTAATTTTAAACTATAATTAAAAATACTGAAGTTTTGACGAAGAAAATTATTGTGCGAAGTAATGCCGAAGGTGATTGCCTCTGTTTTGGTCATTGATCAGGAACCGTTCTCCTTAGAACGGTAAATTATCGTTAACTCAATCTCTGGCCTGTGGTGATGTGATCTGTTGAGTTCTTTTTTCCCATGTAGTTAATGTGCCCATTAAGGTGTTGTGAATTAACCTACAGTACACAATAAGGGCAAGTAAATTAAAGGGAAAAAGAGATTGAAATGAACCATCGGACTAAAAATACCTCGTACAATATCATACATACAGTGTATCATGTGTAGTTGCAATATCTGTAGCCTCATTTTATGAGAGATATCGAAAGTTGAGTCTTTCATTCATTATGCAGAATTCTTCCTTTCCTTCAATTTGTATAGCAGGTCGTGAAAGTCTTTCTTTTTCACACAATTTTAAATACTGGTATAATTTTTGTTATGTTCCAGTTCCAACCAAAGAAAACAGAGGAAGTTGAAAGTGACTCTGACTGGGACAGCCTTCCTGGAGATGTCCAAGAACCATCCTCTAGCCCTGATTCAACTCCCAGACACCAGCCGGCTCCCCCACCTCATTCCCCAAAGGGCCATGTTTCTCAGAAGAGACCTCAGATTAAGTCGCAGGCAGCAATAGCAACCCCAGAGAAAAACTCTATAACCAATACACCAGTGACACAGCCTGTATCCAAACCTGGTACACCTGCATCAAGCAACAGACCAAGTCAGCTATATGGAAAACCTGGAATTACCACCTTTGTTGACAGGAGCTTAAATTCTACTTCAGTTACAGATAACAGCTTGGAGAATTCTCAGAACCAGGGGCTGAGCCCCAATATAAATGAGAATAGATTGCAGAAAGAAAGACTGGGGAGACAAAATGAAGGAATCCACCTAGAAATGAATGAGGTGGATAATAATGGACGTAATCCACCATTTACAGATTTTCAAGGTACTGTAAGGCACAGAAGAAGGAACAGGCTATAGTCTGCAGAATAGGCCACATTTTTTGTGCATCTTAGAGAAAAATAGAGACAAGCAAAAAAATTATGCTCCTTTGTTTGTGTATGTCTCAGGGGTTGCACATTCTTCATGCTTGTGTCTCCTCTTGCCTGTAAAATTCCAAAATGACATCTGCTCAGCAGGTTATTAATAACTATTTTACTGTTAGGAGACAGTATAATTTTTCCTTTTTTCACCTTCTGAGTATTCTGTGGTAATGGTCCTTTATTTTTCAATTTTATGACAGCCAATCTCCCTCAGCAAAATGCTGGAAAACTTACACAAAATGAGAAACCTAAGGCAGGAAAGATCAAGCCATCTTATTTGGCAACCAAGGAGGCAAATCATGGGAACCATTCTTGGGATTCTGATAGTGAACAAGAGCAAGAACTGGTTACACATAGCAGAGAACCATTGACACCACGTCAAAAAAATTCTAAAAAGGGTAACCATGAAGAGAAAAGTGTACACCTAGAACATGAAACAGCCATAGTAGAGAATTATGGCAAGTCTCTGACCTTAGAAACATGCTGTGTACCTCTAGAGACTCGGAGTGAAAGACAAATAAGTGGGTAAGTCATTGATGTCTAGTATATACTGTAATAAAGGGCAATTACTTTCTTGTGGGTTTGTGAGCACAGTTTCTATATGCAAAATTATTTTTAATCACTTGAGTATTGCAGATGGATGGTATCTAATTATAATTATGTGTGGCAGTTATAGTGGACAATTCCTCATTTGATTGTGATATTGAGTGTGGCCTGGGTCTTCAAAACATCAGACACTTCCTTCGGCAGTGCATGTGGTTATTCTTAGCACTACTCTAAGTGTACATCACACTAAAAGTCACATAACCCATGCATACAGGAGAGATGACTGTTATCTGCATACTTGTATGTTTTGTCACTCCAGGTTATCTTTTCTCATGCAGACTCGTGCATCTTTAGAAGTGGCTCTATAACAGTAGGATGGATTGGATTTGAACGTACAGCTTTCAATTTAGTAGACTATGAAATCAGTAGAAGGAAATTATTGTGCTTTGAGATAATGAAAAATTGATGAAATTAACTGATTACCCCTAGGCGTTCATATCATTTTGATCATGGTCACAACCATCATTTTGATGTCAGACCAGAATGGAAGGAAGCTTACATGAAGGGAGTAGCAGACAGGTAAATTCCTTTTTTTTTTTTTTGTTTCAGTGGCAGTTGGACACCCACCCCTTAAGGACACCCCTTGTAAACATAGAACTTATAATAATAGTTGCTTACAAAACCTCTGAAACCTGAAATCCTCCTTTCAACTTTACAGGCTTACACATGAAAGAGTAATTTAATGTATTTTAGTCAGTGGACCACTGTTTTTTTTAATCAGCAATTATAATGTACACAGAACACAGTAGCTACTGTGGGGGATGCATGTTTTGCAAGACTGTTTGTTACACAAATGCACTGAAGGGGGTAAGTTTTTATGGAAACTGTGGTGCTGCATTGGTGGGGGTATTACATTAATTAGGTTTTATCTACTGAGTTAATTAAATGTAAATTGCCTATTGCAGAGATTTTCTAAAGCTGATATTTTGAACACGAGTCCTTTGTCAGTGTGACTGGGTTAATGATCATTTCACTCTGACAAAGGGCTAACACCTGAAATGTCAGCTTTTAAAATCAAATTAGTTGTTCCCAGTAGTTCCATTCAGCTGAAAAATCCAGGTACACATGCCTTTGAAGATTGATGTCTGTTGAACCTGAAGGGGGGTGTTTAGCCATTCAGAGTCAAGGAAGAATCCTGAATTATGTTACTTAATAAATTTTTTTGTCTGTATGCTACTCAATGAGTTATAATTATTTTAAAAGCCCAGTCATATAATGTGAGTTGCCTGGTGTGCTTCAAGTGCAACATTTTAGTCCCTCTCTTGTCAAAAAAGCTTTTGTTTGAAATGTACTTAATGTGATTTTAGTAATTTCATGCAATCTGTCAATGATAAATGATAGTATATTATTCATATTTATAATTTATTTTGTGATTCTCTACTAAGGATTATACTAATTAATTTATTCATTTTCTATTACATTTCTTGTAGATCTGAAAAATGGCTCCACTATTTTTGGCAGGAGTTTTTCAGCACAGTTCGCATCATTACTGACTTTGCATTCATCTTTGTATTAGAACTATTACGGTTTGTCTTCCATTATGTTTTGCTCCGTGTACTTGGGGGAATCATCATTGTGGTTGGAGATCATTTCTTAAAACCATACTTGGCTTTGGTTTTTAACAGCATTATTCAACCTGCCTTTATTTTCACATGGAATGTTCTAAGTGGCATAAGAAACCTTTTACAGCCATTAATGGACATCAGTAGTGTCTTTATCACACAGCTGGGTTCCTTACTGAGGGCATTTAGGCTCTTTGAACTTAACTGGAAACCAGTGTATGAAAGAGGGCAAAAGCACGATGTCCATGTATTGTAGCTACTGCTAATGACAAATACAACCTTAAAGGGTCAGGGGATTAGGCTCAGCTATTAAGGAAGTTTAGCAGATTTGTTGTGTTTATGCATATTGTGCCTAAAAGTTTGTTACTTTTTAGTTCTTTTATTTAATTTTAACCCCTAAACTCCTAAGATCTCAAAAGTAACTCTCTGTACTGTCTACTGTAAATTTCTTGTAATGTTAATTCTAAGGATTTGGTCCTAACGTCTTTCCATTTTAAATCAAATAACATCCCCAGGCTGATATTTCTCTTTATTCTCCTCACCTCACTGCTTGACAATGTATTGATTCTGTAAGGAGAAATGACTTAATTCTTGGTCACTCCAAGGGTTGAAGTGCACAAGGAAGAAACTTACTATTTATTTACAAATGGGGCAATATGTGGTGAGAAAAGTTAACTTCCATCAATACTGTCACTCCTATTTTGTCAATTTAGCATGTGCTGAACTTATAAATTCTCCTTATGATTTTATTGCATTACCAGCATCTAGCAAACGATTTTGGGAAACAGTCAAAGAGAGATTCTTATTCTGATTAGCCATCAAATGATCTCGATTATTTATATAGAAATTTATGGCAAGCTAGAGGAGAGAAATACCTTTCAGATTCGCCTGATTCCCTCTTTCCAACAAGAACCCTGATTAGATGATATTGGTGTTGCTGACCAAAGCATTCCATTGGGGATCAGAACGGAGTACATAAAGATTTCAAATTGATCTTAAATGTCTGTTTTTCCTTTGAAAAGATTTGCTGAAGTCACTTCTTTGTTCATAGTTGTCTGTGAGCCCCTGAAAGCCATTCTGCTGATCAAAAGCTTGGTTTGGACTGTTTGGTTTTTTACTTGCAATCCATCTACTACTGAAAATTTCCATCCAAAATCACCACTTATAATACCTGTAGTATTGAATGATTTTATGAAATGTTAGTGAAAAATGCTTTTAAAATGTTTCTTTGGTGTCCCCACTTTGAGTTTCCTTTTTATTAATTCTATTTATCATATGGCTGTGTCTCACAAAGACTGGGAACTACCGAATTCACGAATTTGATTGGCTGAAATCAAAATTGAAAGCGGTCTAGATTTTCCCATCTAAACCAGCATCTAGACCAGTCTAGAAAAAAAAGGTACAAAGAATATAAAAAATTGGCGTATAAGACACAGCCATAATTAATAAATAACTAGGTCGGTCTGTATGGGAGAATCGTGACCTCGGTCAAGATTCTCCCATACAGACTTCCTGCCCGGTTAATAAGAACTAAATAATAGCATCAAATGGTACTGTATAATAACTGGGAACTGGGCATCCATTGTTGCTTACTGATTTAGTTTTGAAGTTTACATCTACTTCAAACGTATTAAGTTTGTACATTTCTTTTTATTAAATGTATCTGTTGAAAAGATAATATATTAAAAACTTTTTTACTCTGACATGTAGTTCATGAACAGTGTTCATCACTCAGAGAAGTTTCCTTCGATTTTGTTTTAAGAGCGTTCCCCGCGCGACCAGCCAATAACTGTTTTATAATGTTCTGCTCATGCATACACTTTTTTGAAAATAAGAGTAGATCAGTTCCTTGTGCAGAGCGATTTTTCTGAAAATATTTCTGGGAAAACAAACTTAGCCACCAATAAAACAATTATTTAATTCTGTGATAAATTATTTACCTAGGCTGCGCATTTGATAAATAATCAATCTTCTCTCCATTGTGGAGTTTTGTGGATAAATTAACGCATTATCGTTTGCCGCACGGTGTAGGTTCGGGCTATCAATTTCGCGACGTTTCGACCGCTATTCTGCTAGTCTTTGTCAAGTGAATTTTATTTTATTTGACCAATGTGAAATATTGGCCCAGATTATTTTTCATTATGACAACCAGAGTTACATTCGGTAAGGAATTAAGAAGGACTTTCTGGGGCGGATCTAGGATTTATTTAACTGGGGTTCGGAGAATTGTCCGAGGGCATGCTTCCCCGGGAGATTTTGAAAATAAGTTCTTCGGAAAAAGGATTTCCAGCATTTTGAGGGACAATTTAGGGGTTCGACCGAACCACCCAAACCACCCCTGGATCCGCCTCAGCCTTTTTTCACAAGAGTTTATCTTAACTTTTAAAATAGTACTGAGAAACAGTAATGAGGTACAAGTGTTAAGCTATTGAGCAAAGAATAGATTGGAGGTAACCTTGGTTTCCAATTCTTACCAAGCAATTTGGTAGTGTCAACTAAGTTGAAATTGTAACTTGGCCACCGCCCTTAGTCAGAGCGAATGGAGGAATTGTGGGTTGTGTGTGGGTTTCTATAGACCACTTTCATAAATAGCTGCCGGATTAACATTCTTTTGTTTAAATTTAAATAAGCCCTTCTGGCCTCGCTTGAGATAATGTATTCTTTTGAATTTTGTACTGGAGAACGAGGCCAGAAGGGCTAATTTAAATTTAAACAAAAGAATATTAATCCGGCAGCCATTTATGAAAGTGGTCTATGCAAATAATATTAATTAGGCCAATTTCCACTAGCTAGATTACTTTCTTTTGTAACACACACTGAAAAAAATTCCTCTGGGAAAATTACCGTTTCTGTAAACGATAGCATGAAAATTTTTGATCAAGAATACTTGTGCAGGCAAAATTTGGTTCCTCAATTGAAGCCGACCCCATTCCCCCCTACTTTAGGAATTAATTTCCACCAAGATATTGTAAATACTACAAGGCCGGCTGGTGCCGTCGATAAGCTTTTATTTCCGAATGAAATAGAAAACGTTTCTTCCTTGAAGAAAACACTCGCCAAGGAAAAGGTGCCAAGTAGTTGAATATATATCCATGGCTGAGCTCCCAAGCCTGCTTCAGACCAACGAACTGGTCAGCAATAGGGTGGGACCTGACAGCAAACAAACAAAATATTCAATCGGTAAATCCGCATGCAGGTAAATAACAAATCAACACTTAATAAACATTTTGTGATGATTTTACGCTTTAGGGAAAGAGTCCAACCGACGTTGAACCCGAACATCTTGACAAGTTTTCGCGATGTTTAACATAATTTAAGGGTAGCTGCCTTTGGAATATGACCTATGTATACTGAACGTCGGTTTCTTAGCTTACTACGTCCTTAGATCTCACTTCGATGCAGTATCGTAAACCCAAAACCAAAGTAACTACGCCAGCCAATCAGCAGAAAGAAATATATGGTAAGTAGCCAATGAGAACTCGAAGTAGCAACGAGCAAACTCGTCCTGAAGCGCGGGAAAAACGCAAGTGACCAAGTTTTAGTTTTGGCGCGAAATTTATAGTCCAATCAAAGAGGGTAGTGGAGTAAAACTAATTTCTTCTTGTTTACTATGTACTTACCGATAGCATGAAGAGCTAAGCTGAGTTCAAATGAGAAGTTTGAGACTGGGACATCCTCTGACGCAGGGATGATGGCTACTGTGCCGAGATTTGATTCTCCGAATATCTAATTATCAACCGGGAGATGATTGTCTGCGTATCACAAAGTGTTTACATAATGAGTTGGGTAGAGTCTTCAAACGCATCTTACAAGCAAAGATCTAAAAACGTTCCCTATGCGTTTAACACACCCCACAACAGGAAACAAAATCGCCAAAAC